TGAGAAACGAAATAATTTTTCAAATTCAAATTAAACCCATTTATGCTTGCAGATAATACATATCTTTTTACTTTCCATCCAAAATATCAAGCAACTTTATGTTTACATAAACTTTGAATTAAATAAGATAAATGATTCGTTTACAGCAATTAAACATTAAAAAATTAGTGCATACATTATTTCATAGAATTATATTTTTAATTTCATAGAATTATATTTTCATAGAAAAAAAATTAATCTGCAACTATGCAAGATTTAAACCTTTTCCCTTTAATTATCAGATCTATTTTCAAATAATAAAAAATAAAACAGAAAGACTATATAAATGTTTATTGACAAGCATTTATTTTGGCTTTCCCTTAATTTTAGTAAAACCATCAGTTTGACGTATGTATATAGTTTTTTCGTACCCTGTCTCGAAAGTGAGAGCAACAAGTTGATAAAAAAAATTTTTATTTTTTTTAATTAGACTTATATTCATCGATAAATTTTATATTTTATAGTAAAATATTTTAGCGTTCAAAAATTATGGCAATATAAAATTTGCAACCACCTCAAATTGAGAGGGTTTAAACTTTAAATGGTCATAATCGGTAAAATGCAAACTGCGAACCGCGAACTGGTAAAGTGCAAACTTTTTAGGAATCAAGACATTATATTTTAATGATTTCTACGGTTATGATATTTAAAAAAACTTTTGCTCCTCAATTTTTTAATTTAAATTAAATATAGTGTAATTTGGTATATTTAATTTAATTTAGATTGTACTTCTTTTAAATAATTTATGATTCTGCTTAAAGTCCATAAAATATAAGTAAAAAAACACTTTAACGGTAAACGGAAAATAGAAAATATTACATCATTAACAACCAATAGAACTATGGTTCGCAAAAAAGTTCGCAGTTCACCGACTACCTCATGAAAATGATGAATGATTATGAAATAAATATTAATCAACACCTAATTTTAATTTTTATATACACACATAACCTCATTCTAGCTAACTTTTTTTTTGAAAAAAATATAAATGAAAATTATTTCTTTAGAGCAAATCAATCAAATTTTTTTCAATTCCAATCAAATTAAACAAATATACAAAGTTATGAAATTTTTTTCAAAAAAAAAAAAAAGGTAATAAAGATAATAAAGATAAGTGAGAACAATATTTTATTTCGAAACGGGACAATTAAAAGCAGCAGTAATCCGTCAATCGTAAAACTTTCAAAATGATGAAAAATGTAGGCTATCTACAGTCTAAATATGTTCAAACATTAAACTCTCAAAAAAGTAACAAACCCATAGAAACTACGCGCCCTAACACTAATACACCATTAAAAAAAAACAGCTGAATAAAATTTCTTATAAGTGTGTTTATTTTAAAATACTTCTGCTTAAGTCTAACCTCTATATTAATAAATTAATAATGTTAATAAATAACTACCACCAAATTTGAAATTAAACAAAAAATTGTATGGATCTTACAACTCATACAAAAAATATCCTAAAACAATTTGGCAACATTTGTTGATAAATTGGGATAATTAGCAATATGGGAATGTAGAGCAAACTTAAATATGTCATATGGATCAGCACTTTTTCTAGTTCTAAGTTCCTTTTTTAACTAACATCATTTTATCTCATTTTGGATGATTGATTTTTCTTATATCATTTCTTACCTTTTTTCTTTACATTAAACACTATTAATAATCAAAGTAAAGTTATAAAAATAAGAATTTCTTTGAACATATTACTAAAAATGCTTTTCTAAATAAGAAAAATAATATTTTAGATTAAAAATAAAATCATCAAACTGTAAATAGCATCACAAAATTCTAGTAATATATTCAATTAAATAAATAAATTATTGTCCTAATATGCCTCACAAAAGTAATTTTACTGAAATTAATACTATTCAAAAAGTTAATTCCAAATATTTATTTAAAACCAGATTCTAAAAGAGGATAAAAAAATACTGTCTGAAAAATATAAACTTTTTATAAATAAAACCAATTTTGGATAGTTTAAGATAAATCTTTTGTCGTTGTATCGCGAAAATACGCAAATTTTGTTTTTCGTAAACTTGCTAGTACTTTTAATGCATTTTGGTATTTCTAAAATTATTTTTTTTTTTACAATAATAAAGCGCAATAATATAAAATGTTTTACAAAAAAAATATTTGAGAAAAATTTGTTTTAGCTGAGATACAAGGCTTAAGGCATAACTGTCCCATTATACCCCACTGTCCCGATAAGCCCCGCTCTACCCTAATCCTTTTTACAAGGTTGAATCCATAGGGTTACTTCTCCCCACTCGTTTTTGAATATTTTTATTTAGAAACCTATATATTTAACTTAGCATGTTGTTTAAAAACATAAGTAAATTTGGGGGGCCTGTTTAAAAAAGGCAAGAAACTTTAATAGACATGTGTGATGCAAACTTTAAATTAAGGGGCTGCAAGCTTACAAATTAATGAATTCAAAAATTACCCCTTAATAGATGGTCTGTATTTGAAAAATTGAAAATTTCCTTCCTACAAATATGATTTGGATCCAGATTGCCCTGACAAGTTGTTAGCTTGTGTTATTCAGGTTTCTGGCAAACTGTTATTGTACTATTGGGGTTAAAACCTGTTTTGAAGAATTTTAAAGGATTCAAAAACCAAAATACATATAGTAATACATAAATGGAGAGTTAAAACTTACAAAAAATTAGACAATTGTGATTTATTCAAATATGAATAACATCAAATCCAAATAAACATAGTTTTACTTTATTATTGTTACATATTATTTTCTATATTTTATTCCACCATCAATTACAATTTATTCCTGTGTTTTTGGTGACCGAGACATAACCAGGCACAACTTTAAAGGGGTTTTTTATTAATTACGTCAACAACTTTTTAGGGATTTTTAACTCAACCTCCTCCCCCACTCTGCCTATTTGCCAAACCTCAAGAGACAACATTTGATTACCTCTTTCCCCCTAAACTAGTTAGTTAACGTTAGTTGTCGTTACAAACGACCACTAACGCTGCCTCAAATCCTTTTTCTTTAATTAAATAAATTTATTAAAAAAAGTAAAACTCTTGACGTCAACTTTTCTTGACCTTCTACTCTCCCCCTTATAAACAATTGTCAACATATTTAAGAACCCTCCTCCCATAATTTTTGACATTATTAATGTAAAGCCCAATGATAAAAATGACCATAATAGCTGTTCTGTGTAAAAAAAAGCTGAAAACCTATCATTACTTTTAAAGCAGGGGACTTGCACAATCTCTTAACACATTCCATGCTTCTAATTTTACTAAGCATGTGTTTTTCTTAGAGTTTAACACGGCATAAAGTTATCCAGGGTAATCAAAAAAAAAAAAAGTTTAATTTTGTCAAAAAAACGTTAGTCTAAAAATTGAACAATTTGACAATTAAACCTGTATTTTTGAAAAGGGCACAAGTCCATTTATCAAAACTTTTAATAATTAACGAAAAACATAATTTTTATTAAAATAATGTCTACACGGCAGAGAAATTAAATATAAAAGTAGATAAATAAAGAATCTATATAACTTATGTAACGTTCATTTTTTATAAAAAAAAACATAAATTATGCAGAAAACTTTAATTTAAATTTATAATCTAACTGTTAAAAGTTTTGGACTTGTGTCCTTTTTGAAATGACAGGTTCAATTAGTTGTATAATACATGTTTTTAATAAGCAACGAGTTTATAAGAAACTAGCATTAGAAGTCCCAAAATTTAAGAAACTTTTAGTAATAAGTTGAATAAGAAATTTATTTAAGAGTTGGAAGAATATACTTTTCAACTTTTACCTACTTATCACATTAAGATTACAAGAAATTTTGAGTATTTCATTTACATATGCAATCTAATGGAATTCTATTTGATTGCAAATAAAATGAAAAATGAAAAACAAAAACTATAGAAACTTTTAAGAAACTTTAAAATAAGAAACTTTCTAATACTAACCCGTTTGCTTTGTTTTGCTTTACATTAAAAAAAAGCATAATCATTAATAAATTTTCAAAATATTGTTAAAATCTTTCACAATAGACATAATAAAATAATACAAAGAATAAAACTGAAAACATAATTTAACATTATAACTTAACAAAATGTAAAAAATGTTGTTTATTAAACTACATTAGAATTTATAAATATGTAGATTTTATAAAACGCTGACCTTTTCTGGATAACTGATTAAAACTCAGCATTCAGCGTCTAACTTATAAACAAAAAAAAACTTATGAAAATGCTATAGATATTATTATTCAGCAAAATTCAGTAACTAAATAATTTAAAAAATTTAGGTGCTATTGTAATAAAGACTGTGAATAGTGTTTATCGCAATAGCATCTGATTCATCTGAGCTCATTTTGACTATAAGTTTAACGACCAAAATATACAGTCTTCAACCGAAAAGGTTTTGTTGTGGCTGTTGCTTCTAATCCAATACACAACAACAAAAAACGTAAAGGGGGACTAACTCTAAGAGTGCTTTACAAATCATGATTATTTTATTCAAGGTGGACACCTTCATAAAATTAATAAACCATTGATGACATTTTCTTAAAATTTTAATAACAACTACACTTGGTAATAGTTAAAAGAAAAGTTAAAGCAGAAGTTAATCACTGTTTATAGGTGTTTCACATCACAAATGCCAAAATTAAAACTATTTGCAACAAATTTTTTTGGTGTTTTCCATATATATATAAATATGTGTGTGTATATATATATATATATATATATATATATATATATATATATATATATATATATATATATATATATATATATATATATATATATATATATATATATATATATATATATATATATATATATATATATATATATATATATATATATATATATATATATATATATATATATATATATATATATATATATATATATACACTATATATATACACTTTATATGTGTACATATAAAGTGGTTCTTAATTGTTATTTAGAGTGTTTCAGATCAATGCTTGAACATGCTGTGAGTATTTATATTACCATTAATTTTAAACTTAACCATAATAACTTTGTGTATAATTAGCTCATAAAGTCTTGATCTAACTTTAAATCTAAAAAAAAAAATATTTAAAATGAACTGAAATCTTGTGAAGAACCAAATCTAGAAGTGTAATTTTATATAGATTAACTATTAAAGGGGTTTTACAGTACTCTTTTTAAAACATAATTTTTATTCTTAAATAACTTATTCTAAAAATTTTTGTTTAATATAATTTCATAACTAATAATGTTAGTATTAGTTATGAAAAAATCTTATATGCAGTATAAATATAAGTTAGCTTAATAAAACTTCTTAATTACCCCTTTGTTAATTGCATAGGAAGTTATATCTATTTAAAACGCATAACTATAATAAAGTTTGAGTTTCTTATTATTTTCATTTCTTTTCATGAAGGTAATTAATAAAAATAAATCATTATGGTAGCTTTTTTATTTCTGTAAATTTCTAAGAAATTAGGCATTTTCTATTTTCATTATTTATTTTTTTTTACATTTAACTTAATTCACTTACTAAAAATAATTTGACTGTGCAATTGTTATTGGGAGATCCAATGCCAATACAAACCAATTATTTTTGACACTTTAAAAAGTGATATTTAAAGAAATATATTAACTAGATTTCTGAAATGTAATTTAATCCATTGGATGCATTATTTAGCTTATAACTATCAACCTTATCACTCTCCCTTAGAGTGGGGCATCTTGATACTACTTTGGTTTTTGCTTCATAACAATTTTTTTAATATGCCTCATTTTTAGATGAAATTTCATTGTTTTAGGTAATTTCTTCACCTATTATTAATACTCAATATCCTACATGCTGCCCGTCAGTTAGTCATTCTCCAACTTTTGTAAATGAAGATGCTGATGTTAACATGGTAAGTGTTTTATGTTTTATATTTTGCTCTTTTTTAATATTTTCATATTGTATTTTAATATTGTCAAATTGTATTTTTGATATTGTCATATTGTAGGTTGTTATTTTTTGAATTAGTATTAATTGGAGTATAAGCTTGATCGAAGAAGATCAACATTCAAAATATTAGTATGATTTAAATTTTGAATACCCTGTTTTTATACTGAAAAGACTCCTATATTGATCTTGATGTTTCACATCAGCCATGAGTATCATATCAAAAAAATAAAAACCATTGAAAAGTCATTTAATATAATAAAATGAACTTTGATGTCTAATGTTTTTTATATAAATATATAAAATTAAAATTAAATTTTCAGCTTACGAATTATTATCAAATGATTTTAATAGTTTTTTTTTTTTTTTTTTCATTTTTTTAGCCAAATGAAGATTTTGCAACTGAATTATTTTAATCAATTTTGTCAAATTATATTTTAACAGTATACACACACATAGATATATATATATATATATATATATATATATATATATATATATATATATATATATATATATATATATATATATATATATATATATATATATATTTATATATATATATATATATATATATATATATATATATATATATATATATATATATATATATATATATATATATATATATATATATATATATATATATATATATATGTACTTTTTTTTTTCTTTTAGTTTACTGTTATTTTACATTTAAATCATTTTAATATATTGAAAAATATATATTTCGAGTTTAAATATATTTAGTTCCCATTTTTGTTTAGTTGTTATACTATTTTGTTTAAGATGTTTTACCTATATACTATCGAATTATAGGATATAATTTTTTTGTTTTGTTTTTGTTTTTAAAGTTGCTGTTATTTTAGATTTATAACATTTCAATAAATTGAAAAATATACATGTATTTTGAGTTTAAATATATTAAGTTTAGTGCTCTATTTTTGTCAAAGGTGTTTTATAACCTTTATACTATCAAGTTATATTATATAACTTTTTTTTTTCTTAACTTACTGTTATTTTAGATTTTAGATATTTTAATATATTGAAAAATAAACATGTATTTAGAGTTTAAATATATTTTTTGTTTAATTCATTTTTTTTGTCAAAGATGTTATTTAACCTTTATATTATAAAGTTATATTATATAATTTGTTTTGTGGTCGTTTTTGTTGTTTTTAAAAGTTACTGCTGTTTTAGTTTTTAAACATTTTAATATATTGATAAAATAAACAAGTATTTTGAGTTTAAATATATTTAGTTTAGTTTCCATTTTTGTTAAAGGTACTGAACTTGTTTAAAAATAGGTCATAATATAAAAGAAATTTAAAATCAATTAATAAAGCAAAATTCAACGAAGTTATTAAGTTGTAGGGTTGACCTGTTCTAGTTGCCTCTGTTTTTACTCTTTAAGCTCTGCAGTACTAAGGGCGAAATTTTTTGATAGCGAAGATAAAAGCAGTTCTAGAACTTACTTCTGTTACCGACTAGCCTCGGTCTTACCTTCTATTAATTCAACTGATAGCTTTTCACTCCTCGGTGAGGTTAATGCGATTAATAAGTTATTCGAATTCTTATATTTGAAATAGGCATGATTTTGTCAGCGTGTGAAATCCAAACAAAAGCTTCAAATGCTATAATTTTTTTTTTTGCTTCAAGTTTTTGTCTGAAAAAACTTTTTTCTTTTTTTATAAAATTTTCAAATTTTTTTACTACCTCTAATTGTGAACCTAAAAAACACCGTTTTGGGTCTTTAGATCAGTTATGCTTAACAGCGTTAACTTAATTTTAATTAAAATTTTTTGAAAAAGTGCCTTAATCTACTATAGATTTTAGCTTTATTTTTTTCTAGTACATATTAATTGAACATAATTCTCATCAAAATACAACATTTCTATTAATTTTCGATAAAAATAACATAATTCTTTATATACCATATAATTAGGAAATATTGCCAATAAACGATCAAAACAGATCATATTATGATGTTTATGATCATATTATGTCTTAAAAAATGGAAAAGTATGGGATAAAAGCGTACCATTGAATAAATTTTTTTTTTAAACCGACAACAGCTAATTGCTTATAAAAAAAAGTAATTAAATTTATTTTTAAATTCTTGCGCTCCTCTTGTAAATATTAAAATATTGCGAAAGGTATTAAAATTTTAGCGAAGTACTCTAGCAAGGTATTTTTGTTATATAACAAGAAGCCATTATGCCAAGCTTGAAACAGCGCACAGAGACTCAGAAAAGTGAAAACTGGTCAAAAACCAAAAATATTTAAATATGAAAAAATCATTCTAAAGTATTGTTATGCCTATAATTTATTATAACTGAAAGATATGCCAAGATATGGGAAACTTCACTCTTTCTAGAATTCTGGTTGTTAATAAAGATAATCACTGAAAAGTGGTTGATAATAAAGATAATCACTGTTTCTGTCTCTTAAAAGGAAGTTAAAGGTTTTTCTTATTTAAAAATTGGATTTAATGCAGCATTATATCAGAGTAACAATAAACAATAAATATATATCATATAAATCTCATGCCCTGATAAATGAGATATACTTATTTTAAACCGTAACCCGGATCTTAACCTTAACTAAGATTGGTGATTGATAGCAAAATTGCTTGGATTATTTTGAAACTCTCAGGTTTTCATTTCCGTAGACCTCTGCATTTCTATACAAGAATAAATTAGCAGGGTTGAGAAGTTTACTCTGAGGAAGCTCAAGAAACCCAAAATAAAAAAAATTCGTAGTGCAAGAATCCACCACTTTTTGTAAAATAAGTAAACTAAATGCGATAAAGAACCACTTCCACCAATTATAGCAAATGCTAATTAGAACAGATTTAGTAATCTCAAGTATCTGTTTCAGCGAGTGCAACATTTACCAGCCAAATACTAGCATATTGGTAAAAATTATTTTCAATTTAAATAATCAAATCTCTGACCCTAAAATTCATAAATACATGTATAATGATTGAATTTTGTTATAATTTTATACTTTTAAGTTTTATGAGGTACGAGCAAATTTCCTTTCTTTAAGTGATAATTTATTTGAACATTTGTATGACATTTTAAATCAAATATAAAATATTTTTAAAATTCAAGATTACAAATAATTTTTTTTTGAAAATTTAAATTTATAAAAAAAAATGTTTGTAATTAATTTTTTAGATATATCATTTACCCCTTTAATTAGCCACAGTTTAACAATTACCTTAAGTGCACCCCCTCCCCACTTTATAAGTGCTTAGCAAGACAGTTATTTTTTTTTTTCAACAATATATTTCTTCACTAAAGTTAAACCCCTCAAATTAGTTAATTTAAAAAAAATTGACACACCCCATTCTTATTTGCAATATTCAGCTAGTAACATGCCGTTAGTAATGTCACCATGAATCTCAAAAATTAATTTCTTGACTCAAACTAACTCTAAAAACAGGTAAGTTAAGTTATTTTTTGATAATTTAAAAAAAAATTTGAAGTTTTTCTCCCTCTTTTTGGCATTGTGCAGTTGTGTATAAAGGTAATATTAAAATGGATTACTTTTGTTTTAATTTTTAATTACATTTTGAATTAAAAATGTGTTTAAAGCCGATATTGCAGTACTAAGGGAACAAAAAAATTTGGTTTTATTTTTGTTTAAATTCAATTCAAAATTTTTATTCTAACTTAAATTGAAGTTTAACAAAAACGTATTACTTGCAAAATATTTTTTTTTTTTGAAAAATTTATTCTGCCAATTAAAAAAGTAAAAAATATATCATCTAGCTAAGTTTTTCAGCATTTTTTATAGTAAGCTCTGACAAAACAGCTTTGACAAAAATATGTGTTCATTCTCACAACATTTTTTCAGCATGTAATGTTTACATTTATTTGGATTTTTTTTTTAACTATATTTTCCGGTAAAATGTCGTTGTACATTATATGAAAACACAAAAACTCAAAAATGATCGTAGGACCCTATTTAAAAAAAGCCAATTATTTCAAAAAAGTATTAAATGAAAAGTAAAAACCTTTTTAAGAAAACAATACAAATAAGATAGGTATCTCAAATATAAAACGCCGTTTAACAATAAAATAAAAAAGTGAATTATAATTGTAAGGTCCAGAACTCATATAATATTACTACTATAAAAAAAATCTATTTACTTCATTAACAATGAGTTAATCTATTAACTTAAACTGTTTAAAGTATTTCAAATGAAGTAAAAATTGACAAGTTAAAAGTTCAGTAGTCTCAAAACCAAGTTAAAAAAAAAATCAACTCAAACAATAAGGATTTTTTTCCTCACTTGAATCACAGTGGTTTTCTCTCCGTATAAAAATAAACAATTTTAAATAAATATATTTTTAAATTTATTATATCTTTATGTTTATTATATTTATAGCATTATAATAAGAGCAGACTTGTGTTAAAAATTTAAATAAAAGCAATAGTTTTAATCGTTAATCATGCTCATTTCATATAACCCTAACCCGTCAGAGTTAGCAGAAATGAACAAAAAAGAAATGTTTGGAATATATATATATTTTTTAATTGTTATTTAGGTGCCCCAAGAAGACCTATCGGTCTTGTCACAGAGCACAGCGGATGTGCATTTAACCAGAAAGTTCACGCCTCCTTCCTTACCGTGACGCGAAATATGTCCAAGGCTCGTTTCGAACCTGGATCTCCTGCTTATCAAGCATGCACTCTAACCACTGCGCCACGGCCGCACAGGAATCACAGGAGTATGTCCAGAAAACTTTTAGATCCAAAGCTTTATGCATTAAGAAGAAATGTTGCTTTGAAATTATAATTTAATACAAAAAAAATCAACTTGCAGACAAAACAAAAATAAAGACAAAATAAAAGAAAAATAACAGCTTTTACTTTTTTAAAAAAGGTAAGTAAATAATTAACAAATTAAAGCATACTACAAAAATTAGCTTGCCAATTATTTATTTTTTTATTGTAAATTTTTCTTATAATAAACAGGGTTTTTGGTTGCTATGGGGTTGCTAAGATAAACAAGTTTATTAATTTAGACTTTTAATACATTTTTAAATGTAAACTCAGCTTAAAATGGTGCTTTATACAAAAACTTAAAAAAAGAGCACTTAACTTTGATTTAGATAAATTAAAAAACATTAAATTTAAATTTTGTTTTAAATTAAGTTTTTAAATGTGGTCTTCCACATTAATAATGCTTTGAAAAAGTTTTTATGATTACACTTTGAACTTTGAATTTTATTACAATTGACACATATAAATAATAGAGTGATACTGGAGGCATTTTGCATTGAGTTTTTTCTCTTATTACTTTGAATTTTATTATAAACGACAGACACATAATTTACTGAAAAATCAATTCCGTCTTGACACAGTGATTAAAGTTCTGGTTAAAAACAAGTGGACCAAGATTCGATGCCTGCTTTG